GCAATCATGGTATGTTTCCCAAGCTTTAGTATTGAGTTAATCTAGTCACTTGATTGATAAGTTTAATTAGAGAGATTTTCTGTCGATCACCAAGTCTTCAACAACATAATACAACACTTTCAATAACTCTCAACATATGAAACAATACCCAGTAATATATAGGTGTTGTACAGTTTTCTCTATCTGTCACATACATTTTAACTAGAGGTTTCAAAAATTAATGTTCTATAGTTTTGACTTCAAAAGTGTACTCAAACAGTAGTATAGAAACAAAATTTATGGACGATGTTTGAAATTTACACAATACGAAATTTAGACATGTAATGCTTATAAGAATTTGATATTAGTTCCTATACTGCAGTACTAAACAATAATTATAAGTAGCAGTATTGATGACTCATTAAATTGGCAAGTACGTGTTTAAACCGGATATAAAAGGGTGTGTCATACACCAGCGGCTTACAAATTACATAAAATCAAAAACAGTTGAAACAGTCAATTTAGAAAAACCTTATCAACCTTATATATGTACAAATTACTCAGAACGTGGCTTAGAAGTACAATGTATCAGAGTGTCGCCTATAAGTTACTGCTGAGAAGTGTCAGATTCGGATGCATGGTGCGATCAAGGTATTTTGAAGACTAGAAGACATATGTAAGAATACAGCCAACAATCCGACTGTATTTTTCAAATGAAAGTTTAAACACAAGGTGTACGTATTTTACTGATAAAGTCTTTCTTCTATCAACATATTGTTTATTCTATCTAGTCTTAACGTTTTCACTATTTCATTGTGCAAATTCTATCCAAATCACAACAAAATATTCCCAGTGGGATCACTTCACTAATTTAATTGAACAATTTTCAAACAAATCAGTATTTATTTTTACAATATATAACTAAAGAAATGAGTCAAATTTTACTAGTTTCAACCTACCGTTTACTGAGTTTTATGGTAAACTTTTTACTTTGAAGACTCTTCCTAATAACAGTGAGTTTAACATCAAATATAAGTGACAAGACACAAACTATGTGACACTTAAAGCATATTTCAAAACCATGTATTTAAAGTTATGAGATGCTTTAAACTGTGCTATCCCTTTTCGTCCTTACAATGAAATTTTTTAAAAATAGTCTTATTTCTAGTATTATTTTAAGATGTGATCATTCACTTTTTTGATAATAATTATTTAGAAGAACTATTGTAGTGACTACAAACAGAAACTAATCACAAAAGGAAAACTGAAAATGAAATCTCCATTGGTAATCAAACTACGCTTAAACACAACTATTAGTCTAAAGATTTTAGTGTTGAATATTATGCTACTTATTAATGGAAAGTAGTAGATCGTTGTGTTAGGTTATCACCTCATAGTAGAAACTATCAAACAGGTTGTCATGATGGTATTTTAAATAATTTGTAAATTTTCATCAAGAGTTTTTGTCTATCTCTTGCCTACCTGAAAATTTTTCTCACCTTTATTTTTATTTCTTGGTTAGCTAGTTATCTAATATTTATCAGCTCCAGCTGATTTCGTGACTATTGTCGACATGATGATTAGTTGTGTTTTAGGCATTGATTGTTATTCCCCATGGATATAGTACGATCGTACACTAAATGGTGAATTTATAGATACAGGCCAACTGGAATGATGAACTATCTTCGTATATGGATGCATCAAAACGCTTTAAGTGATTATGTAATATAACTTCGAAGTAAACTAAGGGTGAAATGAAGGAGTGTTATTTCCTTGTATTTTAGATTCCTCAACATGACGTAACTGCCTTGATTGTCGATTATTATATCTAAAGTCATAACTTTTACTTCTAACTTCGAACACCGGAAGTTTATTCACTAGTAACTGAATCACGATACCTATAACTCTGTTTCATTAAAAAGTTACTTTTAAGTTTTGATTTTCTCTCCACTGATGTTTATGAAAACTGAACTCTTACAAATCGTTCTCCTTGGAAAAAGTAATAGCTACTATTACTGTCTTTATTAGATAAACCGTTATTTTTTGATGCGATAAGAACCCGTATCGGGTTTAAAAGTTAACGTAAAGATTGAGATACAGTTACATTTGTCTGGCTACTATCAAAAAGAACGAAACCTCGAGATCTTGTATTCCACGGGAAAAAACAGAATCAACTTGTCACTTGGAACAACACATACAAGCAAGCAGTATTGTTTCCAATTAGATCGTCATTTAGCTTCTCTCCAGTAAACATGAATATTTATTTGGGCAACAACAGTATTAAACCAATCAGTGGATTTTTAGGTCAATAATCACAATTAAATAGATTGAATAAATACAACTATTTTCTTACTATCAGTTTGTACAGTGCGAATCCACGACCCCGCCGGCAGGTTGTGGATATACTGAGTCTCACACTCAAAATAAATGGCTTTCCAGCTCATAGAGGTTTTCAGTGGTCGTCCAACTTTTATTGACTCGCAATTGCAATGAAATTAGTGTCCGTGATGTAAATCATGAAATTCAAATCTCTACAAGCTCTCCGAAAGTGATATGCTAAAATCTAAGTATGGATGCGCAATATGGCGAGTAAGAGTTGAGAAAATTAGTCGGTTAGTAATTTTCGACCATGTGTCTTCGAAGAACTGCTCATGTATCCTGAAACCACCGAGTAAGCAATGATGTTGTTAGGAAGCGGGTAACGGATAAGGATGGCAAATCGATTGATGATGTAATGAAACCTCATCATTTGAGGTGGACGGGGCACGTGTTACGTATCCTCAACTGCCTCGTCGAGTGATGTTTCGTGGTGTAGGAGTAGGTTGGAAGAAAGCTAAGGGCGGTCAAACCAAAACATAGCACAAATTCATGAAGTCACTGACAACTGAACTGAGGTCATGTAGCTAGGTATAAACTACTTGGCTGGGGTCCGAAAGATGATAGTAATCAACGATTAGAGACCTTGAATGACACGGCTCAAAATCGTTTGCAATGGAGTAGGTGCATCCCTTCTTTGGCTTCTAGCAAATCCTAACCCACTGGATTCTTCATTACCTTTACCTTTCTCCATTTGAAGTTAATTTCACTTCTTGAATAATATCTTGGAACCCTAACCTTCTCCATTAACGCTAATACTCCTACTAACTATACTACTATAGGATTTGAAATGACAATTATGTCTCTGTGATAATGTGGTATGGCAACTTGAACTTATGGACGTATGCACGAAGTTCTACATTGTAACTGATTGAAATCTACGTATGCAAACCAAATTTCACACCAATCTCTCCTAATTATTAATTGAATAAAAAATAATTATACTGTCACATTTTGATTTGAGTTCTTACCTTTACGGATTTATTCCTTCATAATTTTGTTCCTACATAGTTTTTTTAATGTAGATTTCATTTTTTTGAATGATGAATTACAGTACAGAATGTGTTGTTATCTTAATTTACTTTTGCTAAAAGAGAATACTATCAGAAATCGATATTTATTTCATGGATAATATTTTATTAAAAATTTTTCGTTGATCTATTCTATTCTTGATCTTGTCTTTTAGTCTAATCAACTACCTGCCGATCCACACATCTGGTCATCATCAGTATTATTCATATATAAAAGTAGACATTATGCATCAAAACTTAAGATTAACACCTGTATAGTGAATGTATTTCCTAAAGGTTGTGTATTCTAGCAGTGTGATCTGTTGTATTTGCATATATATATAGCATCTATAGTGTAATCTTTTAGAAAATTATTTATGTAATCATGTTTATTATTCAATGAATACAGCAGATGTTTCAATGATTATCTATCTATATTGTGAATAGAATATATAATGAAGTGAAATTAATGCAGTTATTATTTTGATATTTTCTTAAAACATAAAAATATGCATACGCAGATAATCATGTTTATCAATTACACCGACTAATAAAATTGAATACTTTTTGATGTTAACTAATTTTAAGTAGATTCTATTCAAATAAATATAAACAAATATTTGGCAGACAATGAGTTAACTAACTATTGATTTATTTTTTTAATTAAAATGATGAGACATAAACAATGAGTTACTTGAAAATAAACCTTATCAGGAAGTGATGAAAGACATAAAAATATCGAATGAAACCCTCGATAGTTGTCTCATGTCAGCATAATACTCTTCAACGATCACATTTAATTATAACCTATGAATATATTTCTAAGCTTTCCGACGACAGTTTTCATGTATGATTCGTATATGCATCAAAATATGATGAAAACATTTTCCTACAGACGATTCATAAGATTCAGGTAGTAACAGCAACTGACTGTAAGAATATATATCAGTCTCATATAATGACTTGTTCCACACTTAATACATTTTGTATTTGGATATTTAAGTAATATTATCTTTTGTCTATAGTTTTTATTCTTGTGGCTGTGAAAGGTGGTCTCTGCAAGCAGATGTATGCAGCTCACTAGTTATTGAAGCCCTCGGAAAACTGTTCGTTTACTGAGGATACGAGTAAGTGGTTATATGTAGGTTAAAAGGTAAACATGGTAAAACGCTTAAGGTTATGAACGTTTACAGACTCAAGTGGCTGGGAGGTATTGCGCACAGCCTGCAATGTCGGATAGAGTAGATCTAGGGAGTGCTGAGACTGGTCAGACAAAGATGTACTATAAGCCCATAACACCACTGATCGTCGGTCCTATCCATGTGGACTAACTACTTTGGATCCGTACGACAATTTTAAACAATAATTGGTGGGAAAAGGTGATATGTTTGAACATCACTTAGAGCTGGACAGATTTATTTGTCAGCCGCCTATGCTTATCAGTCCCTTATTTTATTTCTTCTTCTAAAATCTTATCACGTTGAGTCCTATAATACTATCGCTAGTACAACCGTTATACCGAGCTTTTTTATTATTTATTTCATGAATTTCATCTCCTTTCGTTTAGGTGGTGTGTCAAAGTTGGTCGATACAGCTATGTTGATTATGCCATAGATTATGTAAAACACTAAAGATTCCCCTTCCCAAAAAACCGGAGCGACATTTTATGAATAATAATTACAATGTGAGAAAAATCACTACAAATCAAACAGAAGCATCTCCTTTGTATTGTATGAGAAATAATCAGTTGATATTCCTGAACAGTTTCAAATTCATTTACTAGTATATTTTTAGAACAAAGAATGTACACACAGAGGTGCACATACAGACAAGTATATATATATATTCATAGTCGAGGAGGATTTCATGGATATACACAATAAGGTTAGAAGAGAATATAGACAGGAAAAAAAAAGCATACATATCACGAAATGATTAGGGTTTTTGTTTGTTTCCATTAAAAAAAAAAGGGATCTACTTGTCAAATAGTTTCTATCCCCAAAAACAGGAATGTAAGTGGTATGTAATTGAAATAAAAATCAAAGAAAAAAAAGGGAAATAAGTTATCAAGAAACATGTTCGATTAGTCAATCAATCAATTGAATTCAGCACAAGTGAACTAAGACACTATAATATGAGAAATTATAAGGATTAGGGTAAAAGTAAAAGAATTTGTTCTATTTCCATTTACTCAACACTTGTGTATACATGTCAATATGTATATATATGTGTTAAATAAATTATAGTGGAGAAATTCATATAAATAGAAAATGATGCAAGTTTGATTCTCAATGTGACACATTCTCGATAATTGTTAGTTGAAAAATTTCAAAGCATTCAAATACACACATTGTACATGAATAGTTCTTATAGCTCGTAGATCAAGAAGTATTAGATTATGACATGTCATTTTGTTAAGTATGAGTAAGTGGCTATGCAGAGTAAATTCAATTGGAATAGAATGAATTACATAATGTCTATGTGTATACAATACCATTCATTAGTTGTGAAAATATGTCAGTTAGTTAGTTTTTTTATTGGTTTGAAATAAAAATAAATTTATATTGAAGTAGTACAATGTGTGCGTGTTACAATAAAATCACAGTCAAAAGAAAGTAAAAAGAATGTGATGAGATTTGAACAGAAAACACAAATTACTACACAAGAATTACATAGTCGAATTATAGAAAACAAGAAAAAGAAAAAAGAATCAAAAACTTAAAACAGACAACAATCACTGTACACTAGAAGAAAAGAAAACCGGTAAGAAAAGAGTATGCAAAGAAATGTAGTCGTAACATTCAAATTAGTAGAGAATCAATCACATACATACACCAACATGTGTATCGTCGGGATGCATATACATGATTTGAAATTAAAACCAATGATTGAATTTCAATTTTGGATATGAGAATTTGCATCACAGAACGGCTAATTTTTAAGGCGAATAAGAAATAAGGGAAAATGTTCAATGCATGAGCAAACCTATCATTATTATTATTATTATTGTTTATGTTTTCCACTTTAGAGTTTAACGCCAAACTCCAGGAGAAGCAGAAGCTACATTCATTAAATCAGGAGATGTAAGACATGCAGTAGAACTAGTTGAATGATGTTCACCTAATCTATTGATCCATGTTAATGGAATAGGTTGTTGAGGATAAGCATACATTCCAGATTCAATATAATATGGATGATGAAAATGAGTTGAATCAGTGAAAGTAGTTGTAATTGAAGTGGCTGGTATAGTATGCGTTTGATTTAACATTGGTACGGAATGAAGACCTTGCATAAGAGTAGCTGGATTGACTCGAGAAATTTGAAGAGGTAGAGGACCTGCATTAGAATGAACATGAAATGGTCCATGAGAACCATGTAGAAGAGGTGAAAGAAGCTCAGGGATTTGTGTTATAACACCATCTTTAGATATAACTGGGATGGAACGAGGCTGTGAAACCATAACAGAACCAGTGACTGCACTCCGCATGGGTTGTTGTTGAATTCGCATAAGTTCCAAAGCTTCAGTTGTTCGATTGACCATACCAATGCCAGAGTGTCCAGGAACTCGTAAATTATTCAAATGAGTATGTACTAGATTAGATGTTGAATTATCAATAAAATTGGCCCAACGATTAGAAGGAGGATAAACTACAACTAAAGTAAAATATACCAATAGTAAACTAAAAAATCTTTTTTACTTATACAACTGTATGAACTAAATGATAGAAATCGATTAGTCATAAAATATATATTCAAAGTATACTCGTAAATTTTGAAAATGTTTTGAGTTTTTACAGTTTACCTTATACACACATAGGTGAACACTTAAGTATATGAGAGATTTATAACACATTATGGACAAGAACATTCAACAATCAATTAATTAAGGGTATATATAAATATCTTCTACAGCTGACGGTAGAGTCCGCTCACCTCTCGAGATGATCTCATATAGCTAAGGACAAGAAAGTTATACACACCGCCTTAATGTGGAGGGTGTGCCGTTTGCTTGGGAGGATGAAAACCGATAGTCGAGCACTTAAACCTGGTTTGTGGATGGTGAGGATCAACCTAAATGGGTTAGAAAAGCCTGACTTAAAGCAATGATGAACATGCAAACGAGGATTTTGAAATAACAGCACACCAAATGGTCCTTGGTTGCTGGCAAACATCTCGAGAGTAGCTGCTACCTTGACGTGGTGATCAAAATTGAATATCGTGATGACCCGATCGAGCTGTATTGTGTGGAACATGTGTTCCTTTAGGTCCTACCAAGCGAGACAGGTCTATTGGACAACGTTGAGACTAAAAGCACCAACCTAGGGTTGAGAGCGAAGTCGTACTGCTGAATGTAGAGGGGTGTGACAGCAAAAATATGCTTCCTTCAGACAACCAGCACCTGCAGCGATGCTGCAGATTAGAAAAGGTCGACCTTAAAAATGTCACAACTCAAATTACGCCACGGATTTCCGTCTTCGAGCGTAAGGCCTTTTAAACAAGAGTGGAGCTAACGCTCTAAAACATCATAAATATACCGTGTGTAGTCGGCCTCGAGCAGTTGTCCTTTGGGCACTACGGTCACGCTCCCAGGTCTCTAATACCAACGCCAAACCAATTTCCTTTGCAGGCTGCTGGTAAAATATCATTCCACGGCGTGGGCAGCTCGTAACAACACACGAGACCGAATCGGTCATAATAAAAACCTCCTTATACCTCTCAGTAACTCTCTTACCTCCACGGCTAATCTCTCTCATTCCTTGATAACCTCACGACCCCGACACAAACCATTCGAGTACACGAAACGTTATTCCTGGTGTCCTGAAACCACGCTCTAAACTGCATGTTGGAACCTTCAATGTTCGAACCTTGCGCCAAATATGACAACAAGTTTCCTTAGATAGCACTCTAGAATCTCGTGTCATCGATGTATGTTGCGTCTCGGAAACGCGCATACAGGATCTGAGTACAGTTATGCGTATGATCTCACCTTGTCGAAATAGAGGACCGTCGCGACTTACTCTTCTTATATCTGAAAGCCACAAACACTTCCCGTTGCCTCGCTGGTGCAGGTATGGCATTCAATCTGAAGGCGAAACTAGCTTTCAGACGGAATCCCAGGAGATAGTCGCTTGGGCACTGTCCGACTGTGCGGGACAGTAAGAACTCGAGAAGATAGGGACACTTGTAATTGCCTTTGTAATCTCTGCCTACGTCCCTACTGGTTTCAGCTCAGATGAGGTAAAAGATGAGTTTTACCGAAAACTTTCTAACCTTCAAAAAGCTAAGCACTCTGATGTAGTAATAGTGACTAGTGACTTGAATGCTGAAGTAGGTAGACTAAGCGAAACTGAAGGACACCTGGGTGGATCTTATGGTGTCGTGGCTCGAAGAACAGATGATGGCGATTGTCTGATGCAGCTATGTCTATTCCTAGTAAACATTTATTTTAGGCATTAGAAGAAACATCCTTTAACATGGTAACCGCCAAGTTCTTCACAACGATGGACCCAACTAGATTACATTGCTATCAGCCACCAATGGAGAGGCTCAGTCGAAGATTGCCGCTCATTCTGGAGGACATGTATAGATTCAGATCATGCTCTAGTTTAAGCGCATATTATTCTCCGTTCTACTGGACGTAGGAAAGACACGACAAGGAAGCTGCTCAAAGTTCTACTTAAAGATAGAAAAGCGAAGAGTATGTTTCGAAAGCAAATAGAAAAACACTTAAACAGCCGTGTAAGTGATGTCCACCCCGAGGCAGATTGGAATGGTGACAAAAAAGCTATGGAAACAGCAGTGATATCTGCCAGTAAGGCAAACCATAAGGATAGGAAGAAGTAGTGGATCTAAAATATTGGCCTCAATAATACTCCGACGCCTAACTAGAACTCCCGAAAGATGGACTCGAGAAAAGCAGGTGAGTTTCACACCTGAACGTTGATGTAAAAACCACATATTCACGCTACGTCGGATCCTAGAACATAGACACACGTTCAGACGTAACACAGTAGTAGTATTGCTTGACCTTAAGGCGGCATTTGACTCTGTTGGTTGTGAGGTTCTATGACAGTGTTTGTCACTAAAAGGAGTACCGAAGAAGTTACATTAATCTCATACAAACTCTATAGTCGAACACTGCTGGTTGAGTGAGAGCATATAGCGAACCATCATCGGAATTGATGACGTCAAGCGGTATTCTTCATGGTTGCCAACTTTCTCCATTCTTATTCAACTTAGTTATCGACATGCTCTTAGAGACGACACTTTCATTGGAGCATTATGACCCTAGCTCTATGAGTAAAGCATTGACGCTTTAGAGAAGTATAGGATATTTCAGCGTGACAGTGAGATATTTTGAAACAATAAGCATTTTGTGCAACAAGAAACTGTCTTATCATGCCTTAGTTTAACACAATAAAGTCGGGTAAATATGGCATCAATATTATCTATGCAATCAAGTAGAGTAAACTTGTATGTTAAAGAATTTAAAATTATTCAAAAAACTGATTGCCGTGTGAGTACAAATATATCTCACATGGCTTGTCTTAGCCTTTGGACAAATTAATTGACCTTTTCTGCCCAAGTTACTATTTACACATCTAGGTTGTTATGACTTGAGTAAGTATGCGCATCGTTTACTTAGCTTGTCACATGTCTTACCTATTTTTGTCAGACTATAAATATCTAATCGTGCTTCATCGCTTTGAGTTGTCTCATTCGCCTGCTTCACTTCGCTTTGCTTTGTTTGTACGCTTTTTCTTTTCATGTCTATCTGCTTAAACGATTGCATGAAATGACCTCATTCAACTGAATCTATATTTCGCTTCCTATTACCACCGTCGCACAAACGGGGTTTGCCTAACTATTATGATGTACGGAAATTGGAAGGGGGAGACTTATTTGATAGTATATTCAATTGTTCTTTGAAACTGGAGTCAGATAGCGAGCCACTGAATACTATGAAAATGAATAAAGATATCAAACGATCATAGGTAAACATTATTACAGGGTTTCAATACGAGCATTTTTTAAAAATTATACATCATTAAGCCGTGTTACCTAAAGCCTCGAAGTTAAAAGCATTTTTCCTAAGAATAAACAATCACGTTGTCATTGTGTTGAATTCAAGTATGATTTGTGAATGTGAACACTGAATTATTCTCGATCTGTCAATTAGTGAGGCAGTTATAAAACTGTCTACTACTATTACTATCATTGAACCACTAGATTATACTTCTTGAATAATATATTCGAACCCTAATCTTTCAGATTACAGCTAACACTTCTACTACCTCTACTACTATGGGATTTGAAGTGACAATCGCATCTCCATGCTAATGTGGAATGGCAACTTGAACTGATGTACGTACGTATGTACGAAGTTCTATGTTGCTGTTGACTGACTGATTTAAACATGTCAAACACTACTATTAGACAAAATATAGAACCGGTACAAATGCTAAAAACAAACTTTTAAACCTTTCTTTCACAATAATAGTCTTTTTATAAAACAGATTACATTAAATGTACCTTAATCAATTTATCTGGTAATGCAGTGTTATGATGATGATTGGTTGCCTAACACAATGACTTAAGATAAGTAATATAGTTCCTGTTAAAACAACTAAACTCATTACAATAACTATTTGAGTTCAAACAAAGCAAACCTGGAACGTTCGAAATTGAATCACATTGACCCGATAATGGTAAGTTGCCACCAGAAGGCACAGGATTCGAATTTGAACGTCGGAAAAAACGGTGACCTAATGCTGCAGCAGGACTAATGCGTCGAGCTGGATCGAAAGTAAGCATCCGAAGTACGAACTCCAAGAATATGCTATAATCCATGGGGGTATGACCAGATTCATGTAAACGTCGCCCACGTGGCCCTCCAGTATTGACACCCAAAATTTCAGAGAGACGTCGACTACCTGGTTGTTGGCATGCTGCCTATGATATTAAGAACAGAAAAGAAGTAATCTAACACGTGGAACATGTTTTGTAAATTATAAAACGGTTAATTAGGTGCAGGTAAATGTGGCACAGCGCACGCGGTCTAAGTCTCACAGTTCAAAGCATTGCTGTAAAAAGTTTGTAGAGCATTTACCTACTTATAAGTAGTGTACTTAGTCATGTGAAAATAGATGGCTTGGAGTCAACAAACAGGCTTGAAAACAATGTAAGAATGGATATATACAGGCTAAATTTTATAAAAAAGATTTATGACCGAGTAAATAAATGTATTTGTTGAATAAAAAGGCTTGGAAATTCTACAAAATTTTCTGTGTATCGAATTCAGATAAACCGTACCTTCGAAAAAATTAGAAAAAAGTGAAAGGAAAGAGTATACTAGATACGCCATTATTTATCGCCATAACTTTCATTGATTGAGTAAGCTGACATAAAGAACTCCAACAAAGTATTAAGATGACCACTAATACCCCTATGTACATATTTTAAGAATAGTTATTCTAAACTTTTTCTCATTTATATTCCGGCAGTTTTCATGAGATAAGAAAATCACAACTGGTATTAATATCACATTACGTAATGGTTAGTCATGTTTACAGCTGAAATTCATGTAGATGAAAAATATTTGGTAATACGTTCAAATCGCAAAAGTGGTGACTTGAGTACGGGGGGACTTTAATTAGTTCTTGGATTACCTTGGTTTGACTTACCAGATATTATGATGTGAATTATGCTACTCAATAGTTTTATTGATTGCTTAGAGATAGATATATCATGAGTCTGTGGCGGAATTTTCCTGCTTTAGAATAAGAACATTTTAAGTGCGGTAATATAAGAAAAATTGTTGCCAAATATCAGTTTCAATATAAGAAGCAATGTTTGCAGTTGACAAACTTACTTTAGGTACATACGTGCGATCGACTGTTCGTTCAAAGAAAACATGCCAACGACGACTTTTTTCTAGTAGTAACCGGGGTGGCATACCAAGAACCTCAATAATCTTCATCATTTGTCCAACCTGATAATAATTAAGTGAAAAATAAGTTTTTAATTTTTACACGATATTCTTTTAAGGCGATTCAAGTTAATGTGTTTGGAGCCCAAAATCAAATTGATATAATTTGGTTGATAGTATTCTACTAAGGGATGATAAAATCCACTGTTAGTATAAGTATATTCTTTTACAGATGAATAGATAATAACAACAAAGCACTGAATGCCTTCACACAAACGTCCTGTAATATTTATTGGAAGTGTGATGGTTACTTAAGATTGAGGCGGTCTTTGAGAGACTACCAAGGAGCCTCTCTTTTAAACGTGGGTGGGATCGATATATGGTAGATTAAACACCACTGAATACTTAGTACATCACATCCGATTCGGAAAAAAAACTTATGAAGAGACGGTGGAATACGAGCAATCAATAGGATGAAAGGCGAATTATACACGGTGATCGGATTCAATGTCTAATAAAGGCACCAAGGCTCATCATAAACTCTTTTTCCGGATAATTTTGATTTTCTCGTCATATCCAACCACCACTAAATGCTTTATGCTATTTTTCATTTTTATATCTGAAATTGGAGCAAACCTTTTGATTTTACCAAATAGTATACTGAAGTTGTAAACTAAATGCAATAACTTTCGTGAGTTCATTCAATAGTCAATATTGGAATATTCGACTATGAATACATGTAACGTTCTTAAGTGATGTATATAGAATTCAGGCCTCACTATTCATGTGACCAAATTTCTCCTACACTATAAATACGTGTACTAACTAAAAATGAAGAAATGACTAATGAGGATTATATTTGGATAGTAAAACCACTAGATATAAATACATGAGAAAAAAAATTGGAAAGTGAGAAACTCACTTCATTTTGTCCCGCAAATAATGGTTCTCCAGTATGTAATTCAACTAGAATACATCCTAAAGACCACATATCAATACTCATTGTATAATCTAATCCTAGTAGAACATCTGGAGAACGATAGTAACGCGATTGGATATATTGATAGATTTTTTCATTCATATGACAAGAGCTTCCAAAATCCACTAATTTGATAGTTGAACGTTTAGGATTAACAAGTAGAATATTTTCCGGTTTCAAATCACAATGTATGATTTGTAATTCAGGTCTAGATAGGAAATCTAATGCACAGCATAATTGTTGAGCAAATTTTCTTGTTAAACCCAATGAGACACCATGAAAATTTGTATTTCTCAAAAGATCATATAAATTGTAGGAAAGTAATTCGAAAACCAGACATAAATGACCTCTGAAGGTGAAATGAGTGAGCAAACGAACTGACAGGGAAGAAAAAAGAAACGAACGTAAGAAAACTAGTGTAATAGAATACAAACTATTAAAAAACTGCCTACAATTAAATATTGTTTGTTAAATATCATGTTATACGTTGGAATATAATAATGACAAATATTAACATGTAGGGACTTTTGGTAAGCACAGAAATTTAAATCTAAGAAACAGAATTCTTTCCAACTAACAGATAGATATTTCATAATAATTATAGATGGAGTTCCAGGATTTTCTATAGATTATGCAATAATATTCTGAAATAGCTTGGATGAGAAAAAGTTCAATAGTTACATTGTAAAGTACTTCAAATATTATCTGGGAACTAATATGAAAACTGTTCTATCTAACTGGAAAGTCCTATCCGATAGTTGTAATCAAGAAAGGTAATAAAATTAAATGCGAGCTCGCCAGGTCAAGAGATGTTTTTCCTTACGCTTAAAGTTAGTGTTTGCTAGAAAAAGGCGATTATCTAAGCATAGCTGCAGCAGGCGGTCGCCATTCTGTTCAATCAGCCGCAACACCATAAGATCCACCCAGGTGTCTTTCCTTTTCACTTAGTCTACCTACATAAGCGTTGAAGTCACCAGCCATTATTACTACATCAGAGTGCCTAACTTTTTGCAGGAGGTCCAAAAGCTTTCTGTAAAACTGATCTTTCATATCGTCTGAACTGCAGTCAGTGGGAGCGTAGCAGATACGACGAAGAGGCAACGGCAAGTGTCCATATTTTTACGAGTCCTTACTGTCCCGTTTAATCGGACAGCTCACAAGCGACTGTCTACAGGGATCCAGTCTAAGAGAGCTAGTTCTGTCCTAGGACTAAATGTTATACCTACACCAACGAGGCCCCGGGAAGCAGCAGCAGGGCTTCCAAATACATGAAGAGTAAACTGAGTTGGTTCGACGTTTTCTAACCCCTTCCTTCCTCGTGAGAAAGCAACATCACTGCAGATGCTGGTTGTCCGAGGGAAACACCTTACTGCTGTCACACCCCTCTGCAATCAGCAGTACGATTTCGCTGTCAACGTTGTCCAATCGACCTGTCTCGTAAGGTAGGACCTAAAGGAACATATGTTCCAGCCAATATAGTTCGGCTGGGTCATCCATCATAACAGGCAAGCCCGACCACCACGACAAGGTAGCAGCTACGGTTGGGAACTCACAAAATGGAAAACAACTCAATAAAAATACTTTATGTAAAAGTAAAAATGCGAACTCACCAATCAAATTAGATCCGGGTGGTGGTTCTTTTCCATTTTCAGCAGCTTCTTCAACAAAATGATTCATTTCACGTAGTAAACGGATTTCCACTTGAGCTTGATTGGTGAATGCTCGTTTATTTTTGATAATTTTAATAGCCACATCTTCATTTGAAATACAATCATGTGCTTTCATCACCTGATATGTATATTACATACAAAACAGTAAAGTAGAAAACAAATAGACAAATTTTAAAAAGGGATCTTATAGACTGATGTGTACAAATAAAGATCTTTTAAAAATAAAATGAATTGTTGCGTCAAATATATCAATAAATTAGTTTGTACTCGTACAACTATGAAACATGAATGATAATTTTCTTTTTGGAAAAAAGTTTAATTTAAGGTGGTGTGATGAAAACACACTTAAAACATTGGATTCATTTTTAGAGATGTTTTTAAAGCAATGATAAAAATGGAAGCACAACAATTACTATAAAAAACTATGATTTTATACATTCTATTACTAATTTACGTGTAATTTGAACAGAAACTGATTTCGAAGAAACTTTTCAGATTATCCACAGCATATGTGTTTGAAGAAGTCTCTGAGATTATGACTAAGACTGAGGGTGTTGTTGATGGAAATGAGAGAATGGAAAGCAATCGCCCGGTGCTCAAACCAAGTCAGTGGATACAAAGAGTTTACCTACAGGAGTTTGGGAAACACTGAATCCAAACCAACGGTGTGTATAGGTTTCAACATGTCAAAGAAGTCTATTTTAATTACCGGCTATCATAGGACGGAATATCTTAACGAACTCTGTAGCATACCCACGCAGTTTTGCTAGCGTTGAGGTTACATTAAGAACTAGAGCAGGGAGCAATATTGATTGGTTCCCCCTTAACAGTCGTCTATATGCTGTTAGGTTATGGGTCACTATCAGAGTGAACTGGTAAGAGAAACAATATTTTTACCTAGTCTCCACCTATCTTTTCTGTCAGGAGAAAGGCTCCGATTTTGAGCAGGCAGATAATACTGTCTTACCATGCAGTGATAAACAAATTATGCAAATCGCACTTAATTAATTGGCAGTTACTGTCCGTAGATACGAGATGCACTACTTCTTTTATTTACTTTTCTTCTTCTTATGCTTATGACTATACTTCACATCCATCGATTTTTTTACAATTTCATTTTATTATTTGTGTGGTACACATTTATTTTGGGACCCAGTTGTACCAGTATTTATGGTTAATAAATAAATAAGCATGAATTTATATTAATTTGAACAGATAATAATTTAGACAGGATTCGACCGATAAGTTATTTTTATTCTCACACGTAATTGATTCCATTAACTATATTGTACATTTTCATGCATAAACTTTGACCGCATCTGTTTATCTCAATTCTTACCTACTATCTATTTGTTTTGTATATAAACTGAGACAAAGTCATTTAGCGAGTTGGCTAGTGTGACAACTTCGTGCTACATGTGTTCATCTTCTCTGCTGGCCTTTATGCGTTTATACGAATGTCTGAAATATAGTAGTCCCAGTAACACTTCACATTCGACTTTTTACATTATGATTTATGAACGTGATAAGGCATGGGGAAGATATGAAATTAATCCTGGATAACTATAGATGTTACGGATCAATATATTATGGAGTCAGATGAGCTACTAGAACCGCATCCAATCGATAAGGAGATGATGATGAACGAAGACGTTCAGTCTAAATGGAATAGGCGACTGACTGAAAGAAAACAATTTACTAGCAAAACGTATACACCTTGTCTTTAGACTTCCACTTGCAAGCAGTCAGATTATTAGCTGTCTTCTTCCAAATGTCATCTAACCTTCAAAACACTTTGATCGAGCCATACATCCGGATCGGATCATCTTCTTTTCAGAAGTAAGCTCTAAGCGATGCTTCGCTCAATACTAATCATAAATAACGTTACGGGTAGTATCCACTACAATATGAATAGTATCACGAACTTGAAAATAGTGCGATTAAGAACCAGGAAATAGTTTTGGTTCACACATGTTTACTTTTGCTTGCCTTCATAACTCAGTATTTAGTTCAACGCGATGATTTAAATACTCAGTACATTGTTCCATCATGCTGATTGTGGGTGTTACCTTGACCTGGTGGTCGGGCTTGCCCTATTGTGGTGACTCAACCGAGCTATATTAGCTGGAACTGACGTACGTGCATACTAAGTTTCACGTTGCAACTGATTACTCCGTAATTAATTTAAAATTAAACAGTAGCAAAACGGATCGTTCTTACCAGTTGGTAAGGGGTAATTCAGCCAAATAATAACTGATGATACGGTACAATTTCAAATCTCAATATAGTGCAAAAAATATCGAATATTCTGTAGTAACATTGTTGTGCATACAAGATATAATACTGCTCTAGTTGACCTACAGCTTACACATTTCCCAATCGGAAACCCTTGGCTGTCATTGGTTGACGAATTATTTTAGTTCGCTATTTTATGGCTCTCACCAAGGGCGTTTTATCACTACATAAATACACTTGAGTTGTGTGCTTCTAAACCTCGTATTTTGTGGGTGCATGTGAATACATCCTCTCTACGTCTTATCAAGACTTCCTCCTCTAGTTAGCGGGACCTGGGACTGTCTGATTAGAATAGCCTATCGTGTCACTGCATCGTCGATCTTCGTTCCGTTTACCGGGTTAGATGAACTCGTAATAGATGCAAGCATATCAGTGGGATACCTAAGTCATTCGATAGGTTTACAGATAATACCGTGTACGTAAAGAAGCCTCAGGTAGATAGCGCTTTCTATACGAACAAGGCTGAAGGTTAGAATTAAAAAAGCCATTATGAAGACATGTAATTTGTTTGGTAGAAAACTTACCTGACCAAATGACCCTTTCCCAATAAGATTATTAATTAAGTATTGTCCCATCCATACCTCACCGGGCCTAACAATGTAGTCATAATTGCTATCCGTATGACGACGATCTATATGTTGAGTGGTGGTAGTAGTAGTAGTAGCAGTACTATTACTACTAATATTATTCATATTATTTTTGTTCGAACCAGAGAGAACAGATAATTGCTGTGCTGTCCCACTGGTTGCTGACAAAACTGTTGTCGATGTCCCAGGAATGCCTAGGTTTGTGGTAACCACTTTGGTTCCTATTTGAGTTAAACCAGGACGATGAACAAACTGATTTGAGAGTGCCGAGTTGAAAAACATAGGTTGATTTACGTATGTGACATTCGTGGGTTTCGATAAAGCATTTTGTGCATACGAAGAAGAATGCAACACTTCATTGGTAGAGAAACCAAGGGGATACGATTGGTTTACATTGCCTTCATGAGGTCGTGCGTCGTACGTGTTTATCGAAGATGAAGTTAATGTAATTGGGACTGGATTGGATATGTAACCGGAAAAAATGCATGGTAAAAGTGGGCTAGTTGAACTAGTGCTAACAGCCCCAAGGATGTTATCATGTGACGATGTTCTTGGATCTGCTACTGTATCTTGGCTTTGTGATGTGAGGTCGAAACGTTGACGAAAACCAGCTATAAAATAATCAGGAAAGCGCAAGTATGAAACAGTAATAAACAATAGAGCATTTATTCTAGTCATTACTTAATTGAACTAAAGTAGAATTTCTAATAATACATGTTTTACAGGTTCTCAGCATCACTCATCTAAATCAAATGAGACATCTGAAAAGCTTAAAGGATGTGCTACTGGTAAAAATCTAAACCGACTGACTGAACTAAATTTTCTTGTTTCATGTCTCAATGATTATTTTCCGTTTAACATGAGTTTTGATTCAGATAAGTAGAAATTAATATTAGTTTATAACACACTTAATGCTGTGAAGTATTTCCTTGTCTAAACTTAAAGGATTTACACAATTACTTTTAACTAATAACAATATTTACTTCTGTTGAATATTGATTATCACGGTGACGTCGTGTAGATTATTTTGTAGTTACCGATATATGCACTGAACAAGAATATTGGTCAGATCGGTAACAAGTACAAAAGGATAAAAAAGGCTATAAATAAAACCTGGTTTTACATCGTAGAAATTAGATTATTATCAGCAAACAGCAAGTATTATCAAGTTTTTAGATACAATTAGTAAGGAGTAAACATTTATGAGACTATACAAACGCAAAAAGGCAATCGCTGTACCAGTTATTTACTATCATGGAACCAAAACCCACAGAAAACGTTTGTAGAAATCTTACGTTGGTTGTACTCATAGTAAACCAGCGTTATGATGTGTGGTTGATCACTGTTTAGTGTTACTCTGGCTTTCTAATTTTGGTTGTGAATCAGGCATCTTATATAATGTGAACTAGTCAGTGTATAGAGGATCGTTCGAGTATCCAATTTAGAGGTACTATAAACTTGATCATCCAGTCTAGTCTTATTACCGTGTTATCGTAGTAGCGTGGCATACCATAGAAAGAAAAATATTTTAAATCTGTCCGTTAAAACACGTCGATATTCATTATATCAGTACAATAAGTACAGTATTTGAACTTAACAATTCAGGGATTTGATGCATTCAGTTTCCTTGATGTAATGTAATGTAATTTAATGTATGTAATGTAATGTAATGTAATTTAATGTAATCAGAACATTTTTTAAATGTTCACATTATTAGATGAAACATTTATTAGTTGTGTACAACCTGAACAGATTAGTTTATCGTCACGATATAAAAGGAAATTTACAAATAGTATCTCAATGTATTATGTTCACGACCTTCAAATACGGCCGTTCGTTGTCAGGACAGAGTCCACTAGTCACAAAGTTCAGAAATGCGTTGCCATGGTGACCATGATCATGATAGGCTTATACATAGTTTGTTGCTTTAAAATCATGTAGCTTGAAGGCATCACTGGTTTGAAATTTTGAATTCCCCTATGTTTCATGCTAAAACAACTTAGAAACAGATTGACATAGAACTTCTCAATATTTTCAACCCAAATTCATTTAAGCTCTTTTATTAGTGCTGTTGCAAGAACTGTTACACCTTCAATGGACTCTAGGATTCATATAAAATGAATACTGACATCAAAATTAAAACACGTAAAATTATGGATCTAGCTTTAAACATACACATATATGAAGGTGAAGTCATGGAAGTTGAAACCAAATTATTATTTAGACTATGATTGGTAGGATAAATATTTGCAGTATGTTGATGTGTATTCAAAAACATGCCAGGTGTTCGATTATCATTTGGGGATATTGGGTCAAGAGGTGTTAAATTATAATAACAGGCTGATGATCCTAAACTATTGTTATGTGTACAATTAGAGGAACTGAAATTTCCAACCGGGAGTGAAATTGAATGATGTGGATTGATTGGTTTCATAATATCTACATCGAATTGATTATGATAAAATCCTTCAGCTGTTGTAACACTGGTATTCCCAGTTTCTGTTGTTGGAAAAAGACATAGAGGAATTTGAGATGAGCTTTTGGAATGGATATTGTTGTCTAGAGATAATGGACTTCTCTCCATATATGTGGGAAGGTCTGTTTTTGACGGTAGAAAAGATTGATATGGGAATATGTGCTGCGTATAGGAGGAATGTAGCTCAGTATCATTCTGATTAGTTGAAACATGTGGATCCCTTTGATTAAAAATCGCCGACTTTTCACTTTCTAGTAGGAGCGGTTTAGAAATATGTGCTGCAGATTGAGTAGATGACTTAAGAACCATTGCACAAGTACTGCTTGGTGGTAGCCAAATATTATTGGTGACAGGCATAAATTTTGAGTCTACTTGTGAATTACCCGTGTCATAAATAGACTCTGAAATGTCTAAAAGTAAGAGACGATTAAGTTTTGTCAAGTATACAGAAATGTAATTTTAAAAATGAATGAAAACTAATAAGAAACTTCTACTGATTATTTTTGAAGGAACGATTATTAGGTTTAATTTATACTGGCGGTATTTGGACTGGAGTTTGATTTTGGAAATGAGACACTATTGATAGTATTTAGAACGTTTTTACATTTAGTATGTACATGGATAAATGTTTTTTGTTACCAGTCTGACGATTCTATTAAGTTATTTGAGAATTTGATCAAAACGAGTGACTTTTTGCAGATCAACAGACAGGCATCATCAATATAGTTTGAAACAGATGTACATCGACCCAAGTTGCTAGGTCACATTAGCATAACAGAATGAAAATAATAAGAGATAAAAATAATGTAGTAGCAGTAATGACAAAAAACAACAAATTTTTGACTTTTGGTGACTTAGTGTAAGGCACTTCTTCAGGGTAAATAAACGCAGAATCTTGTTATTTATTTACTTAGAAGAAGAGGCTTACACTAAGTCACAAAACTTCAGAAATCCTAATTTCTACTCATTATATCATAAATATATCATTATTTTATTATCATTGTATCTAATGTTTTAGTTTATTTGAAGTCATCAAATCTAACCTTGGTAATCTTATATTTAAAGACTAAACTTTGGGAATATGGTTCGAAAAGACATAGTGAAAAGTTATATACATGCGAGAGAACACTGAAATTTAAGATAGAAAGGAATATAGAGATTGAGTGTATCTAAGCCCTGGTGAACTATGCTAAGCCATGTTACCAAAGTCTTAAACCACTGATCGCGGCTATCATACGAACCCCAAATAGGTTATCTGCATCTACCGACGCAACTCAGATCAACAGTCAGTGACTTAACAAACAAACGTTATGTCATTGTTCGGCAGCTTTCTTTCTACATACTTCTACAGTAGTAAACATAATGCATTGAGGTAGCAGTGGTTGGGCGTGCATAAAACATGTTACTAACACTATTACCCTGAGATTCGGCCTGAAAGTTTCATCTCCCTGTGCTAATGGGATTTGGCAACTTGGACTGATGTAGATACGTACCAGGTTCTACGTTGCAACTGACTCGATCAATAAAGGTTTAGAACTTCCACCGACCGATTTTCTACATTTGCTTAGTACCCTATGCCTGACCTCAATATTATTTACACGGTGAGCCTAAAATATACAGGTAATATTTCAAAAATACCTGTGATTGAAATCCTGAACCTTACTCATATTTTACACTCTCATGGTCTGTTTCAGACATCAGGTAATACAGATGGAACTTCCTTGAAGTATGTGCGTGGGGAAACCTGACAAATACCAATTGACAGGTCTGGTGACAAAATCTACCAATAAATTCGAACTCGATCAATATTTTTTGAGCAGTCTTACATGGACTAAGTACTTATTTGGTACCCCATCCAATGATACTCATTTCCACAAACCCTCTCAGTCAACAGAATTAAAAATTAAAATTAAATTAAAATCAAGAAGTATGGCTGAAGCTAACATCAGCAAGCATGACTGTATTTTAAAACTTAACGAAAAGTAGATGGTTGGTTGATACATTAACGTTCGAGCATAAAACCAGTCTAACTTTTACGGGTTTTCTCTTCACGAGTCTTTATTCAGTGTTGGAAAAATACATAGGCCAGTACCTCAGACAGTATATTAATCATGTTGATCCCTTTGTGATTATTACAAGAGGACTCTTGCCTTTTTTTATAAGCAAAGACGATCAGAGGTTAAGACCAATCAGGTGGGATTACATGCAGCTCCCGAACTCTAGCTTGTGTCTCAGATTGGCTTCCAAAACCGGTCCTTCTCTAAATGTCTCCGCGATTAGTCCACCAGGTCCGCTAGGAGACTAATGGCAACTTCCCATTCCGGCTCCTTGGGGATAGTAAGTAATTTTTCTATACACCTTTGTACGTTTATACTTCGAGGAAGGATGAAATCATGGTTAGGTGCTATACCTTAGGTATCCTCTTGAGCTCAAGGCATATAGAAAACAAGTCATGAAACAATACTGCTATAATAAAATATTTATGAATGAATAAAAATCGATATTCCTTACCGAGTGTAGAAAAGTGATTTGTTACTCCATTTAACGTAGTTGAATCATACAGACAAGGCTGTACTATCTTATCTGAATTCACTCGAAGTATATTCGGTATAGCCTGATGTCGAGGATGAGGCGAGCTTTTGGAAGAAATAACAGAATTGTTGTATGGAAGAGTTTGTGGGTAAACAACTGAACCTACATTGTAACTTGTAACCACGTTTATGACATTGTTAACGGTTGCAGAACTATGTTGAACTGCAACACCTGAAGAGAATGATTGGTGTTCTGTAGTCCTAGTAATACCACCTAAAGTACCATGATCATACATTGGTTGTGCTTCGACACATGCTTCACTGCTACCCTGCATCCTCCAAAATGAATCTAAGTGATCATTGAGGAACTGATTGTGTTCAGGTGAGTGACATTTTTGGAAGTAAGGTGCATCGGGAACTGAGACAGAAGCCACAGTTGTTTGACGTTGTTGTTCACGGAGTCGTCGCTTTTTACGATAGTACACCTATAAATAAATGATAACATATGAGTATGGTCATTAAGGACTGAATGATAACAAACTATAATGAGATTTAACGATGGAGGGTTGGGAGTTTATTACCTTTTTAGAGTGACTCCATCAGATCCAGAGCTCGTGGGTTTGGGACTGGAATCACAACCTGCGACTTTACATTGTTGAAAGGGGTGGTGCTTATGAAGAAATGACGTCAATAAAGGGTTTACCGAACGGGCTGAAAAACCCTGATCTAAAAGTGATAGTAAACATGAGTTTGTGGATACTGAAGAAAATGTGACGCACGTAACTTTTCTAGTTACTGGTTTCTGCAAACAAGTTGCCACATTTTCATGGATAAAATTTTTAGATGATGTTTTTATAATGGTCTCTCTTAAAAAATCTATTTTATTTTGTGAGCGTACATTCATAAGGAAAGTTCGAATACCTGAAGTTTATCAGATCTTATTAATTTTCGCTTGCAAATACAATGTTCAATTGCTTTTACAGAGGAACGTGATAACCTGGTTGGAACTATAGAACAATCGATCTTAACTATAAAAAATCAACTGTCACTGATATAAATTCCATAGAAACTGTACTTTCTTAAGCATCACAGGTGGGTTAGTGAATACACAACAATGCCGGAAATTCTGATGATTGACGGTTTAGTAAGTACCTGATACCATGAAATGTTAGTGTGAAAATTTCAGTCAGCTGCAACGTAGAACTTCGTACGTACGTACACCAGTTCAAGTCGCCATACCACATTAACACAGAAAGATCAAAATGTCAATTCAAATCCCATAGTAGTAGAGGTGGTAGAAGCATGAGCAGTAATAGAGAAAATTAGGGATCGAATATATTATTCGAAAGTATAATCCAGTGAAATAAATTCAAACAGTGGATGGTCATGAAGAATTCAGAATACATTGCAAAAGATATTGAGCCATGTCATTGAAAGTCTGTAATCATTGGTCTCGCGGACACCAACCAGGTAGTCTACACTCGCCAACACGGCTCAGTCCAGTTGTCAGTGGCTTAATGGATTTGTGCCATGTTTCGGTTCGGATACCCCTAGCTTTCTTCCAACCTACTCCCATATCATACAACATCGCTCGTCGAGGCAGTCGGTAGTTGGGGATACGTAACACATGTTCCAACCACCTCAAATGATAAAAACTAACTACTTCATCGGCTAATTTGCCAACCCTACCCATCGCTTACTCGGCTGTCCCAGGATATAAGAGCAATGCTTCGAAGACACCTACGATCGAATAATAATAACCTACGAACATCTTCTACTCTTACTCGCCATGTTTCACGGAAATACAGTAGGACGGACAGAACTGCTGCGCAGTAGGCTCGTCCTCTGGTTAGCATACGGATATCTACTTCTACGCATCCGTGCTGAGATTTTGTCACACAACAGGCTATCAGAACCGATGAGACTCCCAAGATAAGCGAAGCGGTCGACACGCCCAACTACTTTAATCCCTAACACTAGTTCAGATGCCAACTGAAGCCAACCATCGGCATACTCTAAGTCAACAGGGGAAATTCCTGGTAGGTTAACTCCTGAAAATTTAGACGACGAAAGGGTCATCTCTGAAAGCATATCGGTAACTAAGTTGAATATGAATGGGGAAAGTGGGCAACCCTGATGAACACCACTTGACGTCATCAATTCTGATGACGGTTCTTTATAAGCTCTCACTCAACCAGCAGTGTTCGAGTAGAGAGTTTGTATGAGATTAATGTACTTCTCCGGTACTCCTTTCAGTGACAAACACTGTCATAGAACCTCACAACCAAGAATCGAATGCCGCCTTAAGGTCAAGAAATACTACTACTGTCGGACGCCTGAACGTGTGTCTATGTTCTAGTATCTGATGTAGTGTGGACATCTGGTCTTTACAGCCAAGTCCCGGTCAGAAACAAACCTGGTTTTTTTCGAGTCTGCCCTTCGAGAGTTCCAGCTGGGTACCGAAGCTAATACTTTGGAAACTATATTAGTTGAACTTAATCCTCTGTAATTGTCGGATGGGATTACCTCCAGTTCCCAGATTCTACCTAAGATCTCGGTTAGTTTCACTGCTAAAACTGGACCAACATGCTTAAAAACCTCAGGGGTTAGCCTATCAGGTCCTGCTGCTCTCTCTCTCTTTAGACTTCCTATAGCCTTTTCAATTTCATTAAGAGTTGGAAGACCTGCATCAACTTTCCATTCGGGTTGACTGGAGATGGCGTGTAGTTGAGGTGTTGTTGAAGGTTAGTTGAACTGCTCCCTAAAGTGTTCTGCTCATCCATCCAATCTCCTGAAGTGAGAATGAATGCTAGTCTCATCTTTTTCCGAGATAGTTTCACTAACAGTCGGTTTTCTAATACCGGTTTCCTTGGTAAATCTGAATAGTTGTCTACTCGTACCTAAGGCCGTTGCCTTTTCCATGTCTCTAGCTTCTTATAAGCCTGCGCCTAAGCTGACTCCGTTTCCGAGCATCTATCAGTTCAGTAGATGCTACTGAGATCCAATACTTCTCTCTATCCTTATGATTTGTCTTACTGGCAAATATCACTGCTGTTTCCACAGTTTTTTTGATACCATTCCAATCTGCCTCGGGGTGGGCATCACTCACACGGCTTTCAAAGTGTATTTCTATTTGCGCTCGAAACATACTCTTCGCATTTTTATCGTTAAGTAGAACTTTGAGTTGTTTCCTTGCTGTCTTTCATCCAGCAAGACGCAGACATATACGTACCCCTACTAGAGCGTGATCTGAATCCAGACATGTTCTCCAGAATGAGCAGCAACCTTCAACTAAACCTCTCTATCGGTGGCCGATAGTTGGCTCCATCGTGTGGTCGATTTCAGGGGGCGCCATGTCACGATGTTTTTCCTTATGGCTAAAGTTAGTACTTGCAAGAAATAGGAGGTTATCTGAGCACAGTTGCGACAGATGTTTGTAATTGTATGTTCTCTGAGACACAACACCATAAGGCCCACCCAGATGTCCTTCAGTTTCGCTTAGTCTACCTACTTGAGCACTCAGGTCACCAGCCACTATTACTACATCAGAACGCCTAACTTTTTGAAGGTTAGAAAGTTTTCGGTAAAACTCATCTTTTACCTCATCTGAGCTGCAATCAGTAGGAGCGTAGGCAGAGATAACACGTGCAACTGCGAGTGTCCCTATCTTCTCGAGTTCTTACTGTCCCGCACAGTCGGACAGTGCCCAAGCGACTATCTCCTGGGATTCAGTCTGAGGGCTAGTTTCGCCTTCAGATTGAATGTCATACCTGCACCAGCGAGGCAACGGGAAGTGTTTGTGGCTTTCAGATACACGAAGAGTAAGTCGCGACGGTCCTCTATTTCGACAAGGTGAGACCATACGTATAACTGTACTCAGATCCTGTATGCGCGTTTCCGAGACGCAACATACATCGATGACACGAGATTCTAGAGTGCTATCTAAGGAAACTTGCTGTCATATTTGGCACAAGGTTCGAACATTGAAGGTTCCAACGTGCAGTTTAGAGCGTGGTTTCAGGACACCAGGAATAACGTTTCGTGTACTCGAATGGTTTGTGTCAGGGTCGTGAGGTTGTCAAGGAATGAGAGAGATTAGTCGTGGAGGTAAGAGAGTTACTGAGAGGTATAAGGAGGTTTTTATTATGACCGATTCGGTCTTGTGTGTTGTTGCGGGTATGATGGCGGATGTCACTTCTCAGCTGCCCACGCCGTGGTGTGGTATTTTACCAGCAGCCTGCAAAGGAAATTGGTTTGGCGTTGGTCTTAGAGACCTGGGAGCGTGACCATAGTGCCCAAAGGACAACTACTCGAGGCCGACTACACATGGTATTTTTATGATGGTTTACAGTGTTAGCTCCACTCTTGTTTAAAAGGCCTTACCACCGGAGACGGAAATCCGGTACAGCTTGATCGGGTCATCATGATAGGCAAGTCCGACCACCAAGTCAAGGTAGCAGCTACAGTCGGTAGTGTAAAGATTTATAAAAAACAATTTACAGGTTCAGTTAATCTTTGATTCAAATGAAGCTATACTGTGTTATTCTACTTACACAGTGGGGTGCATACTGTGACTCAGTTTACTTCATACAAGTGACTTAGTGATATGATTTCAGACGTGTTTTTCATACCCACTCCTCTTTTACAAAAAAGATCTGTTCACTATTCCTTTACCAACGGAAAAATAGTGCACGTCTGATAGGACATGTTACTCATTTGATCACGAATAAGAGATAACTGTTTTAAAAACGGTAACTACTATCATCTCACAAAGATCTTTCTTCAGTTATGCATAAATTTCAAAACAACCTTGGTAACAGTCATAATTCTTACATAAGCCTAATGAAATTTGAAGTATTGGGGAACTTCAGATTTATTGGCATAAGCTGCCTTAAGTGGCGATGATTATCAAATATCTAATTGGGATTTTGCTATTAAATAACCATTTCATACTCTTTGGCATATATTACCTAGATAAACTTTTAAACTGAAATATTATTTGTGCATGTATACATAATCAGATCGAATTTACTGTAATTTGATATCAGCTATCAAGCGGTTGGCAGAGCATCTAGCTTTTTAAAGAGTGTGGATACAATATGCGCCATGGATAGTAGATGTCTTAGCAATATTACGTTGAAGACACAGTCAACCTCACAATCTTATGACTGGGTACTATCTGAATCTATACAATAGCTATGGAGAGAAGCAAAAAAATTTTCTACTAATCTTTTTAGTTAGACTACATTTCCAAAATGGCTGTTTCGTAATCAACTCCATCTATTTAAAAAGGGTGATGTTGCCGCCTACATAAAAAGATAACCGATAAGCTGCAAGATGTAGAATAATAAAAGTTACTAGCACCACTGTGATGTAACAAAATATGAACATTTAAACATTACCTCGTTTATGTGTTTGTAGGTTTGTATCAGATTTACAGACATTTTTCTTAAAGGTATGGACCAAGGATCACGGCGTCTGAGGGAAGACAAAGCAGTGTGTGAGCTTGATTGGATTTGTAGAAGCGATGAATTCAGAGAGAGGTTACCAACCAGTGCTGAATGTTGTGGTAATTGACGTAAATGAGCCACATCCTGCTCCTTTAAATTAACCACGTCCCTATAGTCATTCATTTTTGTAGGATAGTTTTGTGCAGCATATGCTGATGCAGCCAAGATAGCTGCCGCAGCAGAGGCTCCCATCAGTCTTTGACGAGCGCTAATAGAAGGGTCATCTGGTATATAAGAGGGGAAAGTCATCTTGGAACAGGAAGAAATTACTGGGTCTGAATCATGAGTAGCAGAGGCAAGCGGTCGGCTATCATAAATAGGTTGACTAAGTTGACCATATGAAGTTGATGTCGTTGAAGCCTGTAACGGTGGACTATTAACAGGATTAGTACTAGCACTATCCCTTGTACTAGATGAAGTAGTAAGTCGAAGTGAAACTTGGTCATCTGCAGCCACTCTGGATAAGCATGAAGACAGAGAGAGAGATGAGGAAGTTATAACACCCGTGTCCAACGTGAGTGCCGTAGGAGACAACGTTGTAGACAAACCAACAAAAGGAGAAGGTTCCTCTATAACACGATGATATAAAATCTGGTTGACATCACAAGCTTCATCCTCAGACAACCACCTGCGACCAGATGGATTGATATTATCGTCGACAGTTTCCAAATCACTCGTGTGAAGTTGAGAATACCCTTTGATCTGTGGTGGAAGGCACTCCGAATTTACAAACCTTGACGGTTGTTGTGAAAGCTCTAACGACTGATTACGTAAGTTTGGAGTAAATAGTATTTGTCCTCGCGAAAGTGGAGGAGGTGGGGAGGGTCGATAGCGTGCAAAAAGAGGGATGGACTCTTCTTTGCTCGCTCTATCACCGACTAACGTAAGGGCAAACGTTCCAATATCATAGTCTCCCGATTCGCAATCACCTGGACTACCCTCAAATCCTGTGCGTTCTTGGTTGAACTCCCTTACCAGCAAGGCATCATCATCTTCATCATCGTAGTAATTATCCATACATTGTAAAGTCAAGTCGCTCAAATGACTTCCAGAATCAACCAGTTTTTTGCTAACATCGGACTGTTCTTTGTCTTCTTTTGAAATTGACTGGATTTGGTTATTTGACTTTAGGATAGTAACTTGACTTTGAACCTCATTCATGGAGTCACTAATATTTGGATCGCTGGAGGAAATTTGTGTAGGAGGATCCGAAAAACTGTTATTCCCAGATTTGGTAAGGTTATCTGCATTACGCATAACATCATCGAGTGGTACTGTGCAGCTACGAATATACTGAGATTCACAAGACTTTGCTGGATGGGTTGGTTTAAGTGTTGCTTTCGTTTGACATAAATGCATTTAATTATTCCGTCAATTCGATATCTAGCAACTCCAGAAGTGCTGCATCCTAGTTTAATTGGGAACAATGATATATTGAAATATTTAAATATGACTGCTACATAAGACCGATGTCATACTTTTTTCAACATAGCTTAAATACTTGAATTTAAGTAACATCGTCGGGTAAAAAGCCTACAACAGATAAGAAAGAGTATATAAGAAAACTTGCAGACCTACATGAGATAATTTAATGAAGTTAAGATAGCTTTAAAATTTTGGCACAAAAAACCGAAACTATAACACGAAAAATATAATAACAGAATTTATATTTAGAGTTCACTTGTTGCATCTATCGCACCTTTAGTTGAATAAATGCTTGTCGGATCAGGTAGCCACACTTTGTACCAATGCAATCGGAGGAAATTAACGACAACAAAACCAGAGGAGTCGAAATGACATTAGCAGTGGCGGAAAACTAATTATTGAATATTGCGAGACAAGAATTAAGTATGGGGTAACGTAGGCACCCATCGTGCAATGATTTTCAGGATATATTGTATTACTGAAAGATTTCGGAGTAGATAAAGAGAAACTAAAAGTAGCTTTTTCGAGTCAACTAAGAGTCATAACCACTACGATTAACCAGTGGAACAACCAGGAAGTCTCGAAAAATCGGTGGTTGAGAACGGTAGGTTATAGGACAGGAAGGACTACTGAATTTTCAGACTTGGGAGCTCTTAACCTTGTCTAAGAACAATAATGACTTGACGCATCCGATCTTAAGTTGTTTACGACCAGCTAGTTGTAAGGGTTTACATTTGCAGATGTAAGAAAGTCTGGTAGGGCAGAGACTGTAGAGCGATAGATAAGTGTTAATGTACCTTACTGACCAAGTTCAGAATTATGAACATGGTTTTAAATCATAATCTTCACATGATGGTTGCCAAAACGAAGTAGGTACTTTGAAGCTAGAATCTACAACCCAGTAGTAGTCGTTTAAGTGTTTTAACCATTGAACAGCTGCATCATTAATTCTCAGCTACCACATACTTTTCATGAAGTTCATCTGAAGCTCATTATAAATAATTTAACAATATATTTACACTTTTTTACAGTAGGGTGTTACAGGCAGTAATTTCGCTACCGATAATGACTTAACAATTCAGAAACTAACACCTTTAACAGTACATGAGTTCCATAAGTAGTTTTACCTTTTTCCACTAAAATAAAGAGTCGTTTAAACTTTATATAACTCCGCCAACAGAACCTTTGGGGCTACTGCCGGTCCCAAGCCCGGATAAAGGAGGAGGGGTTGAACATAGGGTTGGCGCCCCCATCCCCACTATAAACTAACTTGCCAAAAAACGCTAACTAGATGAAATAAATCAAACCATTTTAACTCTGCCCTGCGAGTCGGAAGAAGAATTATGACGTCTCGTGATGAAAGCCGAGTTACCTCGGAAGTCAAGAGGCCGATGCCTCTTCTGACAACCAGAGTAATCATTCTTTTAGGTATATGGAACGTTCGAACATTGTGGGAGACTGGAAGACTATTTCAAGTTGCGGCAAAAATGAAAAGATACAACCTCGAAGTGCTTGGAATCAGCGAAACGCATCGGACACAGGTAGGTGCTGTCCAAATATGCACAAAAGGCACTAATAGGATGGGAATCTCATGGACCCAGGATCATTAAAGCATCCTTCGAAACAAAGAAAGAGGACATTACAATGAACGTTATCCAATGTCATGCACCTACCAATGACTACAATGACGACGTTAAAGATCAATTCTACGAAAGGCTGCAGTCAATCGTCGATAGAAGCTCACCAAAGGATTTGACGATTCTTATGGGAGACCTGAATGCCAAGGTTGGAATGGACAACACTGGATATGAAGACATCATGGGACGACATGGACTGGGAGAAAGAAACGAAAATGGTGAGAGATTGGCAAACCTATGTGCCTTCAACAAACTGGTCATCGGCAGCACAATATTCCCGCACAAACGCATACACAAAGCCACATGGATTTCACCGGACCACACTACTCAAAACCAAATCGACCATATCTGTTTCAACAGAAAGTTCAGAAGGACTATGGAGGATGTGTGAACCAAGAGAGGAGCTGATATAGCCTCAGATCACCATTTGCTGGTCACCAAAATGAAACTGAAACTAAAGAAGCACTGAACAACGGGGCAGACAACATCACACAAGTTTCTTTGGGATACCGTAAAACTCAACGAATTCAAGATAGCCCTCAGTAATAAGTTCCGGGCCTTGCAGGATCTACTCAATGAAGAGGAAACAACCTTGGAGAAAAGTTGGAAAGGGATCAAGGAGGCAATCACTTCAACATGTCAGGAGGTTCTAGGTCACAAGAAGTACCATCACAAGGAATGGGTCTCTGTTGGTACTCTTGAAAAAGTTGGAGAAAGGAGGAACAAGAAGGCAGCAATCAATGTCAGCCGAACGAGAGCAGAGAAAGCTAAGGCACAAGCTGCATACACAGAAGCAAACAGGAAAATGAAGAGCGTCAGAGCCGACAAACGAAAATATGTGGAGGATCTAGCGACGACTGCGGAAAAGGCCGCAAGAGAAGGAGACATGAGACAATTGTACGATACAACAAAGAAGCGCACTGGAAACCATCGTAAACCAGAACGACCAGTGAAAAGCAAGGAAGGCAAAGTAATCAGTAACACTGAACAACAGCGAAATAGGCGGGTAGAGAACTTTAGAGAACTCTTGAATCGACCAGCTCCACTGAACCCACCCAACATCGAAGCAACATATACAGACCTCCCAATCGATTAAAGAGATCAGCATGGCCATCAGACAAATCAAGAGCGGCAAAGCAGCAGGACCAGAAAACATTCCAGCAGAGGCAATGAAAGCAGTCGCGGAAGCAACCGCAAAAATACTTCACATTCTCTTCAACAAGATTTTGGATGAGGAACAAGTACTATCAGATTGGAAAGAAGGATACCTCATCAAAATACCAAAGAAAGGCGATCTCAGCAAGTGTGGGAACTACAGAGGCATCACCTCTGTCTCAATACCAGGCAAAGTCTTCAACAGGGTATTGTTAAACAGAATGAAGGACTTCGTAGACGCCCAACTTCGAGACCAACAGTATGGATTTCGTAAGGATCCATCGTGTATTGACCAAATCGCAACACTACGGATCATTGTGGAACAATCAGTAGAATGGAACTCACCGCTCTACATCAACTTCGTCGACTACGAGAAAGCATTCGATAGCTTGGACAGGGAAACACTATGAAAGCTTCTTCAACATTACGGCGTGCCCGAGAAGATAGTCAACATCATACGGAATTCTTATGATGGATTCAACTGCAAAATCATGCACGGAGGTCAGCTGAAAAACTCGGTTGAGGTGAAGACCGCTGTCAGTCAGTCAGTCAGTCGCAACGTAGAACTTGGTACGTAAGTACATCAGTTCATGTCGCCATACCACATCAGCACAGAGATATAATTGTCAATTCAAATCCAATAGTAGAAGAGGTAGTAAAGGTATTAGAAGTAATCGGAGAGGTTAGGATTAGAAGATATTATTCACGAAGTATGATTCAATGAGATAAGTTTAGAAAGTAAAAACTAGAGGTGTTGAAGAATCCAGAAGATTAGGATTTGAGAGAACACAAAGAATAAATGCACTGGCGCCATTGCGAACGATTTTGAGCCATGTCATTCAAGGTCTCTAGCCATCGATTATTATCATCTCGCGGACCCCAACCAGGTAGTCGACAATTACCGACATGGCTAAGTCCACTCGTCAGTGACTTCATGGATTTATGCCATGTTTTGGTCTGGCCGCCCCTAGCTTTCTTCCAACCTATTCCTACACTACAAAACAAAGCTCGACGAGGGAGTCGCTGGTTAGGCATACGCAACACGTGTCCCAACCACCTCAATTGATGAAGTTTCAATACTTCATCTATTGATCTGCCATCCTTACCTAGTACTCGTTTCCTAACGACAGCATTGCTCACTCGGTTGTCCCACGATATACGAGCAATGCTTCGAAGACACCTATGATCGAAAACCAATAACCGACGAGTATCTTCTACTCTCATTGGCCATGTTTCACAGCCATAAAGTAAGACGGAGCGAACCACTGCGCAGTACACTCGTCCTTTAGTCAGCAAACGGATATCTCGCCTACGCCATAAGTGACGCAGGTTGGCAAAAGCCAATCGAGCCTTCTGTATCCGAGCTGAGATTTCGTCAGTCACCAGGCCATCGGCACTGATGAGACTCCCAAGATAAGTGAAGCGGTCTACACGTTCGACCACTCCACTCCCTATCACTAGTTCAGGTGCCGATGAAACCCAATCTTGAAGCAACATTTTGCATTTCGAGGGGGAAAACCGCATCCCGAACATGCTTGCATTGTTGCTTAGGGTAGTCAGAAGACTCTGCGTCTTCACCAAGTAGGACAATGTCATCGGCATATTCTAAATCAATAAGCGAGCCACCTGGTAAAAGGTCTACTCCAGAAAATTCAGACGAGGATAAGGTTATTTCTAGGAGCATGTCTATGATAAAATTAAACAAGAATGGAGAAAGTGGACATCCCTGACGGACACCACTTGATGTAGAGAATTCCGGTGACAGTTCGCCATAAGCTCTCACTCGACCATTTGTGTTTGAGTAGAGAGCTTGTATGAGGTTAATGTACTTCTTTGGTACACCTTTCAATGACAGACACTGCCACAGAACCTCACGATCTACCGAGTCAAATGCCGCCTTAAGGTCCAGGAAAACAACTATTGTAGGTCGCCTATATGTGTGTCTGTGTTCCAGGACCTGTCGTAGTGTGAAAATGTGGTCTATACAGCCACGTCCAGGTCGAAAACCAGCCTGGTTTTCTCGAGTCTGCTCTTCACGAGCTTTCGTTAAGCGTCGAAGTATTATTGAGGCCAATATTTTAGATACTATATTAGTTAGACTTATTCCCCTGTGATTGTCACAAGAAGACTTCTGTCCTTTCTTATAGATTGGGACAATCAGTGATTGGGACCAGTCGGATGGGATTACGTCCAGTTCCCAGATTCTACCTAAGATCTTAGTCAACCTAGCTGCTAAAACTGGACCACCATCCTTAAATATCTCAGGGGTCAGTCTATCAGGACCTGCAGCTCGTCCTCGTTTCAGATTTCCTAACGCTTTTTCGACTTCATTAAGACTAGGGGGACTTACGTCGATTTGCCATTCAGGATGACTGGAGATCGTGGGTAACCGAAGAGTGGCTCGAGGCCAGTTGAACTGATCCCTAAAGTGTTCTGCCCATCGATCCAGTCTCCTGGATTGAGAATAAATAATAGTCCCGTCATTTTCTGAGATAGTCTCACTTACACCGCCCCGAAGACCGGTGTCAGGCAAGGTTGCTTACTCTCACCCTTTCTCT